CCTCGCCGCTGGGCAACAGCGGTGGCGGTGGCAGCAATAATTGTGTTAACGGTGGTGCGGCGGGTGGTGCGCGGCAAAAGAGTGTCATTTGCTCAACGAAAGCCAATGCGCTGCCATTGGCCATATTGTCGCTGGCCGGGAATGGCGGCGGTAGCGTCGGTAGTGGGGGCAACAGCGGCGGGAGTTCAGGTGGGGGCGGTGCGCGTCACAACAAACAACAACAGCATTCGCAATCGATTAGCGGTGGTTACGGTCGTCAGTCACACAGTCATCAGCCATTTAGTATCAGTGGTGTTGCTGGTGGTGGCAATTGCCAATTGGATATTGGCATCGCCAGCACCACAATCACGCCCAGCACAACGCCCACTGATGTTATCGATTTGTCTTCATCCCGAAGGTCGTTAGCTGCCTCAACATTCCATCAGCAGCAGCAGCAGGCCGCCGCAGCCGTCCAGCAGCAACAGCAGCAGCAGCAACAACAGCAGCAACAGCAACAACAGCAGCAGCAGCAACAGGCTGTGGCGGCGCAGCATCAGCGAATGTCCGCCGCCCTGGCCCATCATGCCCAGCATCTGCAGCAGAATGGCGGCCATAGTGGCGGTGGCAGCGGCGGCGGCGGCTCATCCGCCTCCAATGGCGGCAGCTCGTCCGGCGGCAACAGCAACTCGAACGCCAACAGCGCCTCGATGCATCTGCAAAGGCATGCGGCACTGGCGGCCGCGGCGTGCGCCAATGCGTCCGGCGATGGGGCACATCGATTGTCCGTCATACCGGAGATACAGACCAGCAACATGAATCCCACGCCGTACAAGGTGCGCAAGGTGTGCGTGGACAAGCATCTGGTGCCCTGCATCAACATGAAGGCCTACAATGAATCCGAGCAGCTGATGACGCTCACCGAATTCCAAAAGAATTTCTTTCCCACTGTCGCACTGGATCACTGCAAGCGTCTGATTGAGGCGCTCGGCGTTGAGCTCTACAAGGCGAATCGGTAAGTCCAGCCCATATATCTAAAAGAAAGAAGCTTAATGGGTGTACCAATAAATGCTGCAAGTGGTTGGAGAAAGCAGACAGATAGGAGAAGAACTAGCGAGTAGGAGTAGAGAGTAGGAGTAGAGAGTAGGAGTAGAGAGTAGAAGTAGAGCGTAAACGGAAATCCGGAAAATAGATATAGTAGATGTTAATCAAATATATATTACAGAGCATTACAGAAGAAAGTAACGAGTGCGATTATATCTAGCTAGTAAAAATTACGAATATCTACCTTGAGTGAGAAGAGTTGTTAATAGAGAATAAAAGTAATCTTGGGTATTATGAAATAAATGATATAAAACTAATAGCGATGGGTTAGTTTAGTTAGGATGTATAAATGGGATAGGAATTCTATTCTATCATAGGATATACATAGGTATAAATATAATCTAATCAAAGACGAGAGTAAAAAATAACGACTATAAGTAGCGAAAAATTGAAATAGAAATGTTTATTAGAGTAGAGAGTATTCCAGCTTCTGAAAGTAACGAGTAAATATAACGAATTCGAAGTTCGCTTGGGTGTATGAGTGTGATGAGTAGGGAGGGAATGAAGCGAGTGAATGAGAGAACTCGAGATAAACTCGAAATGAGAATCATCCAATTACTAATTACACAATCTTACCAACTTTCTCTCTCTCTCTCTCTCTCTCTCTCTCTGTTGGCAGGCGACAGGTGCAAATACTGATGGAGCACGATCGTTCCTACAATGAGAATATGCCGCTGGTGCAGGTGCGCGACATCATTAAGTACATGACGCAGTTGACATTCATGACACGCCAATCGGAGCAGCCGCCGTCGAAGCGAACGCGCACGAGCTAGGAATTAAGCTGGGGAGCACAACATTTGCCAACATCAACAACACCAACACCGACAGCAACAGCAGCAGCAGCAGCAGCAGCAGCAGCAGCAGCAGCAGCCGCAGCAGACAACAGTAACATAATGACAACAACAACAAAAACAACAGCTACAGACAAACAACATAAGACAATACCCGCATCTCATCACATGGCTCATTTGGCACCGCCACCAGCACCACAGCACCACCAACAGCACCACCAGCAACATCATCAGCATCAGCAACAGCAACAGCAACAGGAACAGAAACAACATCCGCATCACTATCAACAAACAGCAACACACAGCAGCAACACATACGAAATGTTGTACTCCCACAACCAACAATCGCACCGCCCGCACCCGCCGCCAATAGAGCTGCGTGCAACACAACCGACATCGGCATCAGCTGCAGCAGCTGTAGCGGCAGCAGCAGCAACACGCCAGCAACAACAACAGGAGCAACAGCGTCAACTAAAGAAGCGACAGCACGCTAGCAGCGGCAGTGGCAGCAGCAGCAGCAACAGCAACAGCAGCGCCAGCAGCAGCAACAAGAGCAGCCGTACCGCTGCTCAGCAAATGGCAGAGGCGGAGCACGCCTATTTGTCCACGCTGTATGGCAAGGCAGCAGCCAATATGCTCAGTCCGCCGCTGAGCGGAGCTTCTGTTGCGGCACAGCAGGAGGCGCGTCGCAGCAGCGCCTTCGACTGGAGTCTGGGTACGCATCAGCAGGATGTGGCCGCCACACGGCACCAGCAACAGTTGCAGCAGCAACAGCAACAGCTGCAGCAGCAGCAGCACCAGCAACAGTTGCAACAGCAACAACAACAGCAGCAGCAACAGCAGCAGCAACAACAACAGCAGCAGCAGCAGCAGCGTGCGCGTCGCGCTGCTCCAATGGAGACGGCCAGCACGCGTGTCGCCGCAGCAGCGGCCGCCGCCGCGGCAGAGCGTCAGCAGCGGCAGGCGATCATGCATCGGCGGCATAGCATTTGTGCCGCTGGCATTGCCAGCCTGTCGCCCGCCTCGTCCACACACTCATCGTCGACGGCGGCATCGCCAACGGCCGCGGCTGCGGCACTGGCAGCGGCCTCCTATTATGGCGCCTTCTCAGCGCCCTATCATCATATGAATGCGGCGGCAGCGGCAGCGGCAGCAGCAGCGCACCATCATGCACATGGGCAGCCATCGCCGACGATTTATCCGCCGACGCCGCCGCCGTCGGCGCCCTGGGTGCATCCCTGGTATGCGGGCGATGCCTTCTGAGAGGACACGCGCGCACGCTTGCACTCACGCACGCACGCACGCACGCACGCATATGATACCATGTAAATTAATAGACTATGCCTAAGTTATTTATTAATTTCATTTGATATAACCATTTTTTTTTTCAATTCTTTTTTTTTTTTTTTTTTTTTTTTTTTTTTTTTTTTTTTTTTTCATAGCTTGTAAGTAGGTTAACTAATTTTCTGGGCATAATATGCCACAAAAAAAAATAAGTAAAATTAAGAGTAAATGGTTATTGATAGTTACACGAAGCGAAATAAATATATCTATATATATATATTTATATTATATATATTATATATGTATCGATGACAACCCGAACGCTAAAACCAAACAAACTATCGTTAATTTTGCTATTTCGTTTGTGTTGAAAACAAAACAAAAGAAAAAAAAAAAAAACAAAATTTCAAACTGAGAACTCAAAGAACTGATTACATTAAAGCAAACAACTTAAATAAACCAAACGAGAAAACAAAATAACTTTAGTATTCTTCAAGGTCAACACACATTCACACACACATACACACACTCGGAAAATATTGAAATGTTCGCGCGCACTGTCCGATCGTAATAGCAAAATAAAAAAGGAGGAAGAAGAAAAAACTATATACATATATATAATAAGAATATTAATAAAAAGAAAACCTTTACTGAAAAAGAAAACAAACAACATTTACCGACTGCATAGTTTATAAATTAAATTCATTTTTCATGTGTTTACGCATAAATAAATTATAAAAAGTCATTAACATTTAATTCTAAGCAAGAAATTCAATTTCTTGCAAAAACTACTCGTAAACAAACATAAAAACAAAATGAAAAAAAAAAAAAAAAAAAACAAAAACCAATTACAACTATAATTGAAATGTACTATAAAAAAATTCATATGCAGTTTGTGTCGAATTCTCATCGTCACAAACAATGTTAAAATATGTTCCATATAAGCAAAAAACAACTACTTATGTACTTTGTAAATTAACGATATCCAAGTCTTAAAATTTATTATAAAAAAAAAACACAAACAAACAAAGAACAAAAAGAAAAGAAAGAAAACAAAACAAGTATATATGTTAAAAACATTAAAAAAAAAAAAAAAAAATATTGCTTATGTTATACAATATATATGTGTATACGTATACACATGTATAAACATATATAAATATATATATGCGTGTGTATATATGCATATGTGTAATAAGTTATATGAATAATATCCGTTTTATGGATTATTTGGCAAAGAACAAGCTAAACATATTTATTTGTATTAAAAAAGTTTTTTTTTCTAACTAGATATATATATATATATTTGCATACATATTTATATGTATATATATATATATATATATATATATACGTATATTTAGACATATGTATATTTTTTTGTGCTGTTATTAAATTAGATTTGGGGGTAAATATGAATTTTAAGAAATTTCAACTTTCGTTTCAGTTTAATAATACACACACTCACACACGCAATCACACACATACATATATATTCAAATTTATATATTTTTATTGTTAGTTGAAGCCGTCAAAGTATTTATAAAACACTATATATATACATGCATATATATATAAACTAAAACTATTTTTTTTTCCTGTTTATTACTTTTATTTCAAGACCAAGAGAAAATAAAATTTACTAAATGAACTTGCAGACGAATTAAGCAAAATAAATTTAAAAACAAGAAATGCTAAAAAATATATGAAACGTGTTTTAATTTAAATTCAATTAAAATGTTTGGCGGGCTTTTGAAATTAATCTTAGGTGGCAACGCTGTGTTGGTGTGTTGCGAAACGTGCCGCGCAACATCGATATATATATAAATCCGATATATCACCACAAAATGCACAGATTGTCAAATGCAACCCTGTACTGCGGCCAGCCAACAAAACATTCATATAAATAATAATAAAACGCAACGCACGGCCCCGAGGCGTCGCCAACAACGTCAACGCAATGGGCTTTCCGCGCATTCTCAGCAAAAACAATAAAATCTACACAAAGCTTGGCGAGTTTTGCCTATCGGGCGATAGCTTCTGGATCGTCTGCCACACATGCCAGGAGGAGCTGCAGACGCAGGACGCCTTCTGGAAGCACATCCAAGATGAGCACAACTTTCTGCACGGCCTCGCCAAGGTAAGCACCAGAGCCAGCAGGACACCGACCGCCCAATGCCCTCAGTCTCGTGCATGTTATGTTTCCCTTCTTACGTTATTTTGGCGCCCAAAATGTTTGTTTTCATGTGTTTGTGTTTGTGTAAACAGGAGCATGGTCGCAGCTCCAATTATTGCTTGACTGATGTGGAAGCGGCTGCCACGACTACTACAACAACGTTGCCAACGTTGCCCATGCCGCTGGCATTGTATCACTGTGCCAAGTACAGCGAGGAGGAGCAGGAACAGGAAAATCAGCAGCAACAGCAGCAGCAACAGCAGCAGCAACAGCAACAGCAGCAGCAACAGCAGCAACAAACGCTGCAGCTTCAGCAGCAACAACAGCAACAGCAGCAACAACAACAGCGGGATACGGCCAAGGATCTGGCAGAGCTGCATGCCGTGGCGGTTGCTGCTGCTGGCGATCACAGCGCGCGTAGCAGCAACAGCAGCGTCTGCGGCGGGGCCGGCGGAGGCAACAGCATCGATATCAAAGTGGAGCCCGCCAGCTTGAGCCTACCGCCGGATATGCAGGTGGCAGCGGCAGCCGCAGCAGCAGGGAGCAACGCCAATACCACAATCTACCATTTGTCGCAGGTGGTGCCAGTGGTGCCGCCGCCTCCGCCACCGGCATCGACGTCCTGCTTTGTGAATGCGGGCACAGTGACAACTCCGACGACGAGTGCAACAATAGCAGCAACAGCCACGCCCCCGCCGCCGCCGCCACTGTCGCATACCGCATTGGCCGGTCCAGTGGTGGGCGGCTCTAATGTGAATGTGAACGTCAATGCTAATGCAGCGGCTGCTGCTGCCGCCGCCGCCGCTGTGGTGCTGCAGCAGTCGTGCATACCGTTGCTGGCCGGCGGCCAGGAGCTGCTGCCAAAGGACTCGAATAGCACGACGGCCAGCGCGAGCAGCGCCGTCTCATCGGACGACGGCGAGCGTTGGTATATCTGCGATTATGGCACCTGTGGACTGAAGTTCAAGTACAAGTCGCGCATGGAACTGCATCGGGTGGTGCACAGCAAGGAGCGGCGATTCAACTGTGATATGTGCAGCGCCTCCTTCAAGCAGTCCTGCAACCTGTCCACGCACCGCAAGAAGAAGCATTCGATAAGGGGCATCAAGAGCGAGCTCTTGCCACAGCGCTTCTAATGTGCGTCTCCACCCCGCTGCCTAAGGACCAAGTGCAAAGTCGCGCCCCCCTTACCCAATCCTTAAAACTCCTATCATGAGTCCGATTCCAAATCCCATCCATCTAAGCCATATTTTTTTTATATATATGTATGTATATGTTTTTTTTTTTCATATTTTGTTTGTTTTAATTTGTTTAGTTTTAAGTTAATCTTAAGCATATTCACACACACATATATATAAATGTATAAATATATGATTTACTTTTAGGTTTTAGGCCCTTGCCCCGCCCTCATCGTCGCCCTCTTCCCCATCCCATTTAGTGTTAAGTATATGTTTAAGTGAGGTTATGTTAATCTCTGTGGGCATAGCAAATTGGTGTACTTAAGCCGATTTTAGGACTGTGCATAAGCATATATATATATTATATGTATGTATGTTTGTACGTATGTCTGTATGTTTTTATATGTGTATGTTTACACACACACACACACACACACACACACACACAACTTATGTTCGTATAGCTGTAAATGCAGATTTTTATGTAGTCGTTAAGCAGAAAACTTTACCGTTAATCATTAAGCGTTTATTTGTAAGCAGCCAAAACACAAACAGGAGAATGAGAATGAAAATGAGGATTAATCAAAATGATGAATATTAACAGTAAAACGAACCCGTTAGTCAGTTGTTAGCAATTACATAACGTTACTGTTTTTTTTTTTTTTGTATCGAAACTATGTCAAATAATGCGATCAATCCAGTAAAAAATCGACAACAAAATATATACCTTAACAATTGTTCAGCTAACGGCGCTCGCTCTTTATTTTTTTTTTGAATTGGCGCTTTTAAATATCCCGACGGGATTTATTTGCTCTGGCATTATTTAATTCAGCTGAAGGGTTCTCGGAGGTGATAAGTGCCTTATTTTCCGTTCATATATACTCCACTCTTATACTACCCCTGCCATTATTTATTTCATGTTGAAAAATCCTCGCAACGGCTAAATTACTGTTTATAAAATACTGGCTGGTTTGTGTCTGGGCTGCTGTCTACGCTGAATGTGCGGCCAATTTTTAGTACGCAATTTTCTTGCATTTGCCAATTCGCCGGATTTGTGTCCTTGCTGCTATAAATTGCAGCACGTACATAAACCACAAAAGGGCTGCGTTGCTCTTTTTGTTTTAAAGTAAAAACTATGTATTTTTTCTGCATTATCTGTCGATTTGAGCAAGTAATAAATGTACATATGTATTATATACATACATATGTATTTACATAATGGGAGTCTATACAAAGTAAAATATGGTAATGTTTTTTTCCAAGCTTAAAATCTAGGTTTATATGAATTTGTAGAGCTGAAATAGTTATCCAACACAAATCAAGCCGCAAAGTGCATTTTATGCATCCCATTTGATTTCCAGTTGATCGACAGCAAACATACTTTGAATACCGAAAATTTTATAAAATCATACAAAACTGGATTGAAGTGTCCTTCAAATATAGCTACACATATACATACATGTGCATATGATATCAATGTTATACATGTGTTGTATTATTTGCTGCAGCGCAAAAGCTGAATGCTGCAATAGGTGCAAACTGAAGACTCTTTAATTTTAATGAACGAATGAGCGTGTTTAAATACATACAAATACATAGATAGGCGTGTATGTGTGTGTTGGTATTGCTGCTGCTGTGCGAGTGAATGGCTGAGTGCAGATGGGTTGGAAGCACAGTGAAGAGGAAGACGCCACGCACACACACACACAAACACAAACACACGCACACGCATGAAAAGGAAGGCGTAAATGAAGCGGAAATTGAAATGTGTGCACCAAACGAATGTACGCACTAGATTTTTGAAAGGTTTTTTGTGTTGATGTCTGCGCTGCGTTACACACATGCACATACACACCCACACACAGACAGACAGACAGACAGGCTGATATGTGTGCCTCAGCCTCATTTGAGCAGATACAATCAGTTGTCCATGAAACAGACAGGCATGTATGTATGTCTTGAACTTGGCCCAAAAGAGTATGCTACATCAGTTGTCCATCGCAGTTCTATCAAAGGAGTTGTACACTCGTTCAGTTGCTGAATCGCTCGCTCCGTTCACAAAACGCCAGCGTGTTCGCTGGTTCATTTGAGTCGCATTATCGGTTCCTCTGCCCAGACGAGCTATCGTTTTCTTTTGTGTTTTACCGTCGATTCATGTTGGTTCATTGTTTGCTAACAATCAATTGCACAATGATTGCATTTACAAATAAACAAAATCTTAATATCGTTATGGCAACAAGCTGAATATTATGTAGAGTAGTAGACTTTCAGCAGTGAACTTAAGCTCTGTACTATGGGCCGGTGTATCTTGCTTTAAAGCAAAATATCACTAGTAATATGCACATAATATATACTGTATAATTTTAGTACTTTTAAATATATTATTTATTTTTATTTTTGCACTTACTGCACAAATTGACATATAGAAGAAAAATGCGTCTCACTTGTTTAATTATGCCAGATATGCTTGCTTATTTCACCACTGTGAACTGGACAGTTGGAGAGTTGGTGAAAGAGAGAACGTAAACAGTTAAACAGTTGCAGTTGCCGCTACAAATGGCGTTGCTTATTTAAGTACTTTGTCTGCATGGCTCTCCATCTTCATTGTCTCTCTCGCTCTTTTCACGCTCCACCTCTGCCATCTTCGCTCGCACTTTGTTTGCGCTTGCACTGGCTCAGCCAAAAATATTACACAGACAGCTCAACAAGTGCGAAAGCGAGACGGAGATAGCTTGTAATTAGGCTCTGGCTGTATCGAAGTGCTAAAAATTTAAGCCACTGTGAAAAGAGTCATCCACTAAAAGTTTCAATTAAACGCACAACAAAGTGTAGAGTGTGCATGAGTGTGTGGGTGTGCATATGTGTGCATATGCTGAAAACTCAGCGAAATCAAATTGAGTTTCAGCTTGTTTCAGTTGTGCCGCGTGTTTTTCATTTTACTCTCTATAATCAGTTTTCCTCAATCAGTTGCATGCGCATGCGAGTATATCCGACTAGGATCATTTGGTGCATATTGATACATACATACATACATATGTATATAAACAATTTTTACAATTTAACATTTCTTCTGTGGGTGAGTGGTTCTATTTGATTCACTTTAATGATCTTGTCGAGCTTTAATTCCTTTCCAAGCTGCCTTTACAGGGTATCTAAACAAGTCGCATACTCTGGCGGTGGCTTAAAGTCACATATGATTTTGTCGCTCGACTTTTACATTGTTTTCCGTTGCTATTTAGCGCAGTTGCAGTTGCTATGGCAGTTGCAGTTGCAGTTGCAGTTGTCGTGGCATTTTGTTGGCCAACAGCGATGTGAGTGATGAAACTCGTAACTGTTTGTGATATCTTGGGCGCCTAATTAGAGCGTTCGTTTCCAGGCAATGGGTAATATTCTGGATTCAAAGAAACTGCTGGCAAGGCATGCCAGCTCTGGCATTTGCTACGATTGCGAATTGAGGTGTCCTTGCATACCTCTGTTCATAATGCAGGTGAATTCAACGGCAGCAACAACATTTCATGTAAAATGCGAAAAACCTGCAATTTATGTGCAGCGTTGAGCTGGGAATCCGAAACGAACTTAACTTAATTTGAACCTAACCTCAATGTGCATTATTTATAGAGCGCACAGCAGAGCACACAGAAATGTGCGGCGTCCACTATGCAGTGTGCATGCAACAGTTGCAACAATGCAGCTCGTCCATAAACTTGCGAATGCACAATTAATCACATTGTCGAAACTCGAGCTCCATTGCAAGGCTGCGCCAGCAACGGTAATACCCTTGGGTGGCTAACTAGTTCCACCAACGTACTGCTTCACATTCAATTAGTTGCCAACGCTGGGCAAGCTGACAAACTGACAAACTGACAAGCTGACAAACTGATAAGCTGACTAACTGATGAGCTGACAAGTGTGTCCGCATATCGAATTGCCGAAAATTGAACGCTTTTCGCATTTAATTGAATCAGCCGAATGATTCAATATTGTTGTCGGTTAAAGTCCGACATTTGGCTAAATCTGAAATACCATAAGACCGTTAGTAACGGTAAAAATCTATTTCAAATCGCAATTTGGCGCTCTCTGTCGTGTGAAGGGCAATTTTGCGCGCTCTCTCACCTTCCAGTGCTGGAAATTTAGTGTAGGGCATGCTCGTGAAGGGCATATACAATTACGTGTTTAATTCAGTTTGCTGTGCTTCAAAACGGCATTTACCACCGGATGATGAGATGAAATATAAATATAATTGGGTTATAAAATTTTATTTAGCTAATTTATAAATCAAATTAATAAATGAATTTAATGAACTAAATTATATTAAAAATTTGTGTTTTCTAATTTCATCATCATCATTATTATTATTATTATTATTTTTTATTCCTTATTTGTTTTTGTGAAATTTAACATTAAATAAAATAGGATTTCTTCTTGTTTCTCATGCTGAATTATAGCGCATTGTTAACTCGCCGCAAAGCATTTGCCCAACTTCCAGGACATTTCCAGTTATTGCTCTTCATTTGTGGGAAATTTGCTCTTAAATTCCCAGTGAATTTGGTTCACGCGCCCTCTGCCTCACACACACACACACACACACACATAGACACACACATACAAACACACACAAAGTGTGTTGGATAGACTCTGTTCTTAGGCACGCTTAGAAACAGTTACATGTGGGATAACGTAAGGGATAATGTAAAGGATTTAAGCTACTTGCCGCCAATGTCACTGGCTGAGACCCATGGTATCTCTGCCTCTCCTCCCCCTCCTCACTCTACCTTTCTATCGCACTCTCTCGCTCTCCCTCTCAGTGTGTGTGTGTGTGTGTGTGTGTTGCGAGGTTAAGTAGCATGCAGGTAAATGTGGCCGCGACTCTGTGTGTGTTTTCAGCCGTGGGCATGGGGCATCTCTGGATTATGTGACTTAGCCAAATGCCGTCTCAAGGACAAAGAAACGAAACACTTTCCATTGCCTACTTATGAGCACGCTCAGTTCACGCAGCGGGCCATGGACGAAGGGAAGGGGGGGGGGGGCAGAGCAGGAGTGAGTGGATGGGGCGCAGTCACTGGTGTTTGGCAGCTATGATTGGTTATGGCAGGCCGTTCAATTGA